TGGCTGCCTCATTGTTCTAAACTGATTCAAAATGTCTGCCTTTCATGGTCATTTGGTGTTCAGGAAAGAGCCAAAAGACACACAGTGCCCCATCTGGTGAAGATGGTGAGTGAGGACACGCTGCAGTGCTTTGACAAGCCAGCCCTTCTGCTGGGCAGCATCGGGCAGCAGTATTCGCTGTAGTTTTGGTCATGTATTGTGAAGATCCTCATGAAAGAGGACTTCCAGAACTGCTTCACAGAGTGGTAAGGGTATTTGAAGTGAGGGAGATTAATGACAATGTGTCTTTTACTATAACAAATCTTTAAAATTTAAGGATTCACCATATATTTTGATCACACTTTGTGTGTGTGTGTGTGTATGTTTTTGGCCTTTGGAGACAGGGTCTCACTTTGCAGTGTAGGCTGGCCTTGAGCTCACTGTGTAGCCTGGTCTCAAACTCCCAATGATCCTCCTGCCTTAGCCTCCAGAGTACTAGGATTACAGATGTGCACTACCATGCCTGGCCACACTTTATATCCTTATGAGTTGTGAGCAAATTATAAGATACTTCTATATATTAACTGATATAATCCTAATAACCCACTGTATTATTATTAACCTCATTTTCAACATATAAAAAGTCTGGACTCATAAGCCAGGCATGGTGACACATGCCTATAACCCCAGCACTCAGGAAACTGAGACAGGAGGATCCTTGTGAGTTCAAGACCAGTCAGGGTTACAAAGTAAGTTCAAGGCCAGCCTGAAATGCATAGTGACACCCTGTCTCAAAAAGACCAGCAACAAAAAAAAAAAAAGTGTGAACTCAGATACGTTAATTCAAGGTCACAGGATAAATGAAGGGCAGGACTGGCACTATGACCTAAGCCATCTACTTTTTAACCTCCTTGAGTTACTACTGAGCTTGTTCCTGTCATCTTGGTTCCAGCTTGCTTCTCATCTCACCTGAGAGGACACACATTTTTTTTTTTCTTTTTCATTTTTTTTGAGATAGGGTCTTATTGCATAGTTCAGGCTGGCCTTGAATTCTTTATGCAGTGTAGGCTGGCCTTGAATTTGAGTGATTCTCTTGCCTTACCCTCCTGAATGCTGGTATTATGGATCACCACACTGACAGCACATTCTTTTCTTAGTTATGCAAATACGTTCTTGGGTCACAAGGGGCACAAGGCCTGGAACTGGCTCCCTTGAAATGACTATAAGTTTTGCAAAGCATGGTAGTACATTGTAGTAATCTCAGCACTCAGGAGGCTGAGGCATTAGAACATGAATGAGTTCAAGGTAAACCTGGGTTACATAGTGAGATCCTGTTTTAGAACAGTAATGATTTACATCTAAAACAGCCACTAGGCTGGCACGGGGTGCACTCCTGTAATCCCAGCACTCAGGGAGGCAGCGGCAAGAGGATTGTTGCCAGCTCAAGACCAGCCTGAGCTACAAAGTGAGCTCAAGGCCAGCCTAAACTGCACAGTGAGAACCCGTCTCAAAAAGACAAAAATAAGTACAATAAAATGGCCACCAAGGCCTCATGTGGTTGGAAGGTGATTGGAGTACAGGGCAGAGAACGATAGCTGACTTTCCTGTAGGAGGCAGGGTCTATCTAGCAGGAAGATGCAGTTCTGGAAGTGCTCTTTCATGAGAGTCTTTATAATAACTGAGATATGATCAAAACCACAGTGAATGCTGCTGCCCAGTACCATCCAGCAGAAAGCCAGGCTTGTCAAAGCATTACAGTGTGCCTTCGTTGACCTTGTCCACTGTTGGAGACCACTACCCAGCGGCTCTGAGCAGGATTTAAATTTTATTAATTGGCTTTCTATGTTTATCTGTGAGTCTGTCCTAGGCCTAGGCCCCTTGCCTGACGACTTGAGCTGATTCATAGTAAGTAAACCTCTGTGAATCACTGGTCCTGGCTGAGACCAGAGATACCACAAAGGGCAAGATAAGGCCACAGCTGCGGGCACTCTGGCTCCAACCCCAATTAACAAGGTAGAGACTGCAGCTGCAAAGGTTACTCCTACAGTCTCACTTCTACCATGTCTTCATGATAAGATAGTGCTACTAAATTGACCTGATTCATGACTTGGAGATGTCCTTGAAGTGCTCCGGCTCACTGCCTGCACTTTCCTCAGTCTCTCTGACCTTTATCCTTGGTCCTAATATAAGCAGACTGATCCAGAGAATCCTTTGTCTTTACCCTGGAAGTCTAGAGCTTAATTAAAAGAGTTTTGACCCTCCTGGAGCCCTAAAAATCATACAATTTGTCTCTTTTTATTTAACCTCCGCCATACACTCGTTTGGGAGATCGGGGATCTAGGACAGAACCTGATAGTCCACCACACTGGCAGTGTGACCTAGAAGGGTGTATCCTTCTTGCCAGTTCCTTTCTCTTTGCTTCCTGGCCACCGTGGCCACCGTGATGTGAGCAGATTTGCTCCATGCTGCCAGCAATCCTGCCCTGGAGCTGGATGGTCTCCGACTAATCATCAGCCAAAACAAACCTCTCTTTGCTTAAATTGCAGGTGCCGGGTATTGTGCATTGTGTCTCAGTGAGGACAAAGTGACTAAGACACAAACAAAGGCCTTTGTGAATCTAGCCAGCTGGCATCCCCTGTGGGGCAATCGCTTCCCCCTCATTTCCTAGTTATTGTGGCACGCCTCCTCAGGGTACCCGAGTTCTGATAGCAAACACCCACTCTGATCATTGGGAAATCCAAACCAGTATGACATTTCAGAGGAGAGACTGGCTAGTGTTTCTCTTGCTAACCCAAATTTGGAATGCTTCCAAGAACAGAATTCTGGAATTTGTAGATATGTAGATGCTCTGAGGAACCCTAATGTGAAGGCTTTTGTTAAATATACGGCCAGATTTGTAAATCAAACAATTTTCCCTCAGTCAGATAAAAACATGACTCCCATGTGCTGGTGCTTATTACAGATTAGAAACTCTGTGAGGGTCTCATAGCCAACTTATTTCTCCCTTTTTTGAATAAAAAATTTATTGAAATTTAATTTGTATATCATACTGTCCATTCTTTAAAATGTACAACTGAGTCTTTTCTATATATTCATAAAGAGATCTCAACATCACTATGGAGGTCTGGAACATTCTTTTTTTTTTTGTCTTTTTCATTTTTATTGGTACCAGGGATCGAACTCACAACCGCCTGCTTGCAAGGCAGGTGCTTATGCCGTTGAGCTAAACCCCCAGCCCCTGACTGGAACATTTTTGTCACCCTAAAAAAAAATTCCTACCGGTGAGTTGTCATACTCTACCTCTCTGAGCCCTGGATAATCACAAACCTATTTTCAGTCTCCATAGATGTGCCTATTCTGCATACTTCATATACCTACATACATTTATTTACTTTTTGAGACAGTCTCACTCTCTTGCCCTGATTGGTCTCCAACTTGTGAACTTAAGTGATCCTCCCACCTTAACCTTTGGGATGGCTGGTACTGTGCAGCGGGGCATTTCATGTACACGGAACTGTACAATACATGGCCTTTCACATCTGGCTTCATTTATTATTTATATAATATTAATATAATATTACCAGGGCTTTATCCTTTCCTTGACCTTACCTAGTACTGATCATTGAATACAGAGGTGCTCTACCACCGAGCTATAGCCCCAGCCCTTTCAAAAAAATTTTAAATTTTGAGACAAGGTCTCACCAGATTGCCCAGCCTGGGCTTGAACTTGGAATCCTCTTATCTCAGCCTCCTAAGTTGCTAGCATTTACAAGTATGAGCCATTGGGCCAGCACTTTCATTCTATGTAACAACTCAATTTTCCTATTGCATAGATATGCCACATTTTATTAGGCTACTTATCATAGGTGGAGATTAAGTTTTTTTACTTTTTGGCCTCCTTCATCTTTTTTTTTTTTTTAAAAACAGGGTCTCTCTGCATAGTTCAGGGTGACCTCCTCTTCCTCCTCAGATTACATTTTGGAGGTCTTTTCCTTCTATGTCCTCTTCTTCTTACTAAAGGTGTTTTTAAAAGCGTAATACATGCTTTATTCATTACTTCACTGCAGTCTCTAGTTGCCTATTTGTTTTTTTTTTTCCTTTTGTCTTTTTCGTTTTTATCAGTACCAGGGATCGAACTCACGACCGCACACTTGCCCCCTAGTTGCCTATTTGTTCTAATTAATCAGTCTTTTGTCAGAATCCTTGTCTGTCTTGGTTTTTACTCTATCCTCAGTACCAAAGGTCATCTAGGATCATAGCAAGCATTCATTAAACACTGATGAAAACAGTAAAACTCTTTCCTAAACTCTGAAAGGGAGAGCAGCTAATCCAAAAACTACATGTAAGCAGCATATTTAATCCTAAATCTATCTTTCTTTTCTTTTGGTGATACTGGGCATTGAACCCAGGGTCCCACTCAAGGTGGGCAAATACTCTACCACTGAGGCACACTCCAGCCAGAGTCCCTAACTACTTCCCTTGCCACTTCACTGCCCATGCTGGCATCAAACCAGGGGACTCTGTGACATCCCAGGCTCTTTTTATTCATTAAATTCTGAGACCGCGGCTTGCTAAATTGCTCAGGCATGACTAGGATTTGTAACTTTGTCTCAGCCTCCTTAAATGCTGATATTAGAAGTACGGTGCCTCCACACTCAGCTCAGTTCCTACTTCTAATCTAGGACTCCATCTCTACAGCCGGCAAGGATTCTCCTGAACTGCTCAACAGACTTGAGTGCCAGTGTAAGCTCCACGGAGTAGAAAGTGGTATGGTTTGCCTCCTTGTCTCTGGACACTAACGCGGGCATACTGTAAAATGACGAACCATAAGGAAGGAAACAGGGCTCACAACAACGAAGAGACAGCAGTACACTCTAAAGGACTAGGGTAGACTAGATCCAGAGTTTACAAAAAGACTTGCGCAGGCGCACTGGACTCGCTCCGCTGTTTCCTTCCGCCCCGCTCCCGCGCAGGAGTTACTGGCCTCCTAAACGGTCAGCTGACAACTCTGCGCGGGTCACGTGACGGAGGGCTGGGCGCCTGCGCCCCGCGCAGGCGCAGATCCTGCGTGGCGAGTCAGCTGATTGGCGGTTCTGTGTCTCTGGTTTAGGGTGCTCAATTGGCCTTGTGAGCCGCGGCAGCCATGGCCAGCCAGTCGCAAGGAATCCAGCAGCTGCTGCAAGCCGAGAAGCGGGCCGCGGAGAAGGTGTCCGAGGCTCGCAAGCGTGAGTTTTGGGGCGGCCAGGCGTGGCTGGAGGCTAAGGCGCCTAGGCCGCGGAGGTGGTGGGCAGAGAGACCCGGAAAAGCCCCGGGAACAGGGGATTACAGTGGCGGAGGCTGGCGTGTTAAGAGGAACTCTGCTGCTGAGGCTCTGGAAGGCTCGTGGGTCTCCTGGGAGAAGCGGTGTGGGATTTAGTAGGTCGGGTGTAGCGCGTTCTTTTTGGGGAATGGATGCGTATGAAATGGGCCAGTTCAAAGGGACCTCGTCTGTGTCCCTACACCCCCCCCCCCCGCCAACCCCGTGAAGCTCCAGCCCAGTGAAGGGGCCGCCATCAAGAGGATCAGACTCGAGATCTGGAGCCTCTGTTCGTCCTCGTTCGTTTCGTAACAAGAGACAATGCTTGTGTCCCTTCACTCTGTTCCCGTCATTACCGGCAGTGTTATACAGTGTTATAGTGCAGGGCAACTTTTCTGAAGTTCCTGCAGGAGCCTGACTTGCTAATTCCTTTCACGTATGTATTTTTAAGTGCAGGTAACAAGTGCCAGCGCAGTGCCAGGTGCATCACCATTGTGGTATCCCATGTCCCAGTGAAGGAAGTAGATATTGGATAGGATAATTGTAGGTGGGTGGGAAGGCTGGAGTTGAGAAATACAAGATTGCTAAAGAATGGGACACCTGGGTCCAATCTAGACTGAGGAGTGGATGGAAACCAGTCTTAGTGTCTTCCACATTGTTTTCCTCATTATAGTCAATAATCTGTATGAAATGCACAGATGATGTGGCACCATCTTAGGAAAACGGTGTTGGGTGTCCCCAGAATAAAACTTCAGATTCTTTTAGGGGGAAAGATAATAGGAGATTGAACCTAGGGGTGCTGTACCTGTGTGCTACATAACCTTTTTCAAATTTTATTTATTTTTTAACATTTTGAGACAGGGTCTTGCTAAGTTTCTCAAAAAGGACCCAAATTTGTAATCCTTCCTCAACCACCATAAACGCTGGGATTGCAGGTGGGTGCTACAGCACTTGGTCACAGTGAGTTGGACGAAGCTTTGTTGCATCACCATTTTGCTTTTTTTTTGGTGGTGGTACTGGATATTGAACCTTTGTTGTTGGCACTGAGCTGCATCCCCGGCTCTTTTTACCTTTTTTTGGTCTTTTTGAGATGGGATCTTGCTATGCAGTTCAGATCGGCCTTGAACTCATTTTGTAGCCCAGGCTGGTCTTGAACTCATAACAATCCTCTTGCCTCAACCTTCCGAGTATTGGAATTACAGGCATGCACCACCACACCTGGCTGTTTTTACTTTTTGAGACGGGGGTTGGTAAGCTACCCAGAATGGGCTCGAATTTGGGATCCTCCTGCCAGCCTGCCAGAGTGGTGTGGGATTATAGGCAAGTGACACTACTCACAGTTTACACTTTTGAATTTGATCTGCTCTCATTTATGAACTCTCCAGTCATACTGAATTGTGATTTCTCAAAAGTAACTTCATTTATTTTCCAGGGCCAGCCTTTACATCCCATTTCTTTGGGTTGGAAAGACCTTTTCTTACATACCTCCTCTTGGTTCTTTAACCCAACTTTTCAGACCTCAAGGTTAGGCAGTACTTCTCCCAAGAATCCTTTCCTCATTCATTATCCTGCCCTCAGACTAGGTTAGGTATTCCTCCTTAGTGCTCATTTCTGTCATTATAGTATAATAGCTTGCCTATCTATATGTCTTACTCAACGAGTTTAGGCTACTGGAAACAGGTAGGTTTCTAATTTATATGTCCGGTGTTCCATCGGATGAGAAAGATGTTTTTATCCTTATTTTTACAGGTGGGAAAACGAAGCTTAGGAGGGATGATTTGACCAGACCTGGGAATCAGTAGTTGTGATTTAGAGACCTCTTTTTCTATGCTGGGGTAAAATACCAGGAGAATTCTTGGTGTTTCTTCTCGAATAATACTTGTGTGTTGCTTAGAGTTTAGCTTAGAGTTTGATCCCTGTGATTTAGCTTAGAGCTTGATCCCTGGTACAAACACACACACACACACAAAAGACTTGTGTATCTTCAGGTAGATTTCAAACATGGCTCTGAGAATGGTTGTAATACTCTTTTATTTCCAACAAAAAGCATTCTTCCAAGGTGTTGGGGATAAGGAGAAGGCTTTTCTTTCTGCTCTGGTGACTAGAAGATTCTGTATTCTTTGTAGAATGTTTCCAGTCATAACCTTGATACAGTAATTCCTGAATCACTTCTTAGAATTTTTCCAGTGATGACTCACAATGGCAAGCTGTTGGAAAGGATGTGAGACTGTATGAGGGAAGTGCAGTAGCAGGTACTTGCACGATAGTGAGAATAACTTGAGTTCCTTGAAAGTCATCTTTCACAGCTTCCTTTTCCTTGTGGCTGTTAATTATTTGTGGAATGAGTTTGTTTTAAAGGGATTATTAGCTTATGGCGAATGCACATTTCAGGGCTTTCAGTATTTGGGAGGACAGTATTCCAATGAGCTACAGTTTGAAAAAAAATTGTAATTATGGTTGATTTGCCTAGTAGGAATTGAGAAGAGGGTACATGGTGTGATACAATGGTGAAACCCAAATTTTTCATTAAACTAGTGCATTGCACCTTGAAGGAAAAAAGTGGGCATTGTGGTACATCCATGTAATCCTAGCACTTTGAGAGGCTGAGGCAGGAGGATTGAGCCCAAGGCCAGCTTGGGGAATTCAATGACTTAATGAGAACCTGTGTCAAAATGCAAGACAAAGTCAAAAAGGACTGGCAATATAGCTCAATGTTGAGGCCCTGAGTTCATTCCCAAGTACTGCCAAAAAGTACTAGGGTTTATTTTATGGGCATGCAACAAAGCATTAGCTCCCATTTGTAAGGCTCAAGAAAAACTAGTAGAAATGCAAGGGCTGAGCTCAGTAATAGAGTACTGGCTTACTTAGGTTGTGCAAGACTGAGGGTTCAGTCGCAAGCATTGCACAGAAACATTTCTCTGTGTGATTTTCTGTTCAAATACGTTTTAGTTTTCAGAAAAACATCAAAATTTTACTTTGAAGATGTTTGCCGAAAGGTAGCAGCGCTGTTACCTGGAGTGATTCAGGGAGTTGTGAGTTAGGAGTGATGAGATTTGAAATTATGTGGGCTGTTGCAAAGGATTTTTACTGAATATTGTTTGTAGATTGTTGGTTTGGAAAATATCTTTGGCTTTGAAATATTGACAAAAAGCTGAAGGGGAAAGATAACGTGAAGGATTGGGGTGCAAGAGGACTGAAGGTCCTCAGTAGTAGTATAGTAAATACACTTGTACAAGTAGATCTTGGGGTGTTTAGGGGGAGATTTGTCATCTTAGTTCTCTCTCTTTGCTGGGACAAAATACCGGACACCCAAAATGAAGGAAGGAAAGGATTATTTAGCTCACAGTTTTTGGAGGTTTCAGTCCATAATCAGTTGGCTGCAAGGCAGGGTGGTGTGGCAGGCAACACTTCAAGGTGGCAGAAGACAGCAAGAGCAAAAAGGGTAGAGCACAGTCTCATATCCTCCCTTATATTGTAAACAGACTACCACCCCCATGGCCGGGGTAGTACTCCCACTTCTGGGTGCCTTCCTCTTGCAGGGGCTGAGGATATTTACAAAGTAAGGGGCCTGGCTCCCTGCTAAGTGTTTTTAGTTAGACTTCTAAACATCTCAAGTTTACACAGAGTACTGGCCATTACTGCCTGTTAATTGTTTTAGACTGGCCACATGAAATGTTCATGTCTTTACAGGTTCAAACTTTTCTTATCTTGAAGTGGAAGATTAAATTCAGTTTTTCTTTTTGCCCTTGTACTCGCAGTTTAACGCAGGACTTTGTGTTGTAGCACTGAGTTATACCCTTAATGCCCTTTTTACAACTGCCCAGTCTGGCCTCTAACTTCTGTCTCCCAAGAGCTGGGATTACAGGCATGTACCATCTTGCTAGGTTTAAATTCAGTTTCACTTACCTACATGGGTTAAATGGACTGGATAGCTTATGTATAATCATGTACAACAAAGTTTAGTTTTATTTACAAGGTGTTTTTTGCTGTGCATTCAGTGAAAACTTGGGATAATGATCTAGCCCCCCACCTGGTGTCTGTGCGCGCTCGTTCTACCGGACCTGGAACTCGTGGCCTGTGCATGCTAGGCAGATGCTCTTCCACTGTGCTACCTCCCCCTCCCTCTTTCCGTTCTCCTTGGGTCTCCATGGAGCTTGGTGAGCAGAGATGCAAAGCAGCGAGTCTGTATTGGCTAGACTTGTGGTCAGTTTCTATGCAGGCTCTGCCAGAGCCTAGAGATCTTTTCCAGCTGTGTGTTACACTGTTCTTTTGCTCTTTTCTGGAAACCAGACCCAGATCTCCTCACCTCTCAGTCACTGTTTTATTTACTTCTTGTCTGAAGTGTGGGTTTTAAGTTTCCAATATTGCATCATCTGTTTTGTTAGTTACATTTTAGAGTTGCATCCCTTGGGAGCACATTAGGGTCCTTGCTAGTCTCCTGAGCAGAGCTCTGGTCATCAGCCGCAGCACTCTTAGGTGTGTTTATTTCTTGGGAAGAGGAAGAGTACCCTAGATGGCTGTTCCTCATGTTATGTTGGTTCTTTTAAAATTTCAAAACAGTCTTGCTGGGTTGCTGAGCCGGTGTTGATGCTGTCACCTTGCCTTACCCTCCTGAGTGCTAGGGTTATAGGTTTGTACTACCTTGCCTGTTGAAGTTGGCTTCTCATAGTTGAGGTTGAGTGAATACTCTGACACATTCCGCAATTTTTTTCATCATTTTTATGGGCTGTAGCTACAGAAACCAGGCCTTTTTGTTTTTCTTCTCTGTGATGCTGCAGATTAAACTCTGGGCTCACACATGCTAAGCAAGTACTCCACTGGTGAGCTGCGAAGGCATTGCTTTTTATCACTCCTTACAGCCTGTAGAGGCAGAAACCTCTACCTTTAGCTCTGAATTCCCTTTTTATTTTGTATTTTACGATCACATCTTAAATATTTTTCTTTATTGTTAAAATTCACCATCTTAGTGTCTGCTGACTTTTCTGCACGTCTTTTAACCACTTCCTGATGATAGCCCTCTCTCGTTTGAAAACAGGAAAGAACCGAAGACTGAAGCAGGCCAAAGAAGAAGCTCAGGCTGAGATTGAACAGTACCGCCTGCAGAGGGAGAAAGAGTTCAAGGCTAAGGAAGCTGCGGTAGGACCTGTTTGTTTTATTGATTTCATTTTCTGAGCAACACACACACACACACACACACACACACACACACTATCCGGCATAGTTTAGAGATTCTGATTCTGGAAGTTCTGAAAGTTGGATTATTGTATTATTTGTATGTGGTGCTAGAGACTAAGCCTCACATGCTAGCAAGTGCTGAGTACCACAAAGCTACACTCTCCCTTAGTTGCTGGTTATTACCTTCTTTGTTGGAGGCTTAAGCTGGGTTTCTTTAAGATGATCAGTTTTTATTTACTTATTTACTGATATCGCATCCTAGTCTCTGTGTACTCATTTAACGAATAATCCTTTAGACTGTTAACGTGTACCTGTGCTGTGTATGCACAGTGCTGGAGGGTCAGCTGAGGGCAGAAAGAGACATGGTCGTTGCCCTTGTGGAGGTGCTTAAAGTCTGGGACTCAGTAACAGAATGCATGTCATGCCCACTCACAACTGAGAAGTGCCGGGACGGCTGTAAGCTTAGATAAGACAGAGCCCACTCCAGTAGAGTGTGCAGAGAAACATTTGTCACAGTGTAGGTGCTACGGGGCACATGGTAGTGGTACAGAAGCAGATCTCAGCAGTGCAGAGGGTGCAGGGAAACTTCTGGAAAGGCCAGGAAAGGAGGGAGCCTTCCTAGGGAAAGGAAACACTGTTCAAACTGGAATAATTTATTACCCACATAATTAGAAACCCAAGTGGAAGACAAAAGCTTATCTTGATTCAGAAGCCTAAGTAATGCCGTCAAGACTGTTCTATCTCTCAGCTCTGCGTTTGGTTTTATGTCCTGCAGTAGTTTTAGGCACATACCCTGGTCCCCAGCGCTGCTCCAGTGATTGCTACCCATGTTTCCTTCCTAGCATCAAGTAGCAAAGGTTTCGATCATCATTGCACTGCAGGATCACGGAGCCTTGAAAACTGAAGGTGTTTCTCTGCGGTCAGTACTGCTGGCAGACTACACACCTGTTACTCTTGGGCCAAGGCAGCCGTTTCCTGCTCTCTGCCGTAGTTGCCAGTAGAGGTGGTGGCAGTGTTGTACTGTAAAGCACATGTGCTGAGGTGTTGCTTCCTAGCACTGTTCCTTGGTGACCTCTTCAGTTTTGAGACCACTTACTGGGGCTTGGCATAGATTATATTCCTAAAACAGAGCTAGTGGGGCTTTTCTCTCCCCTTCCTCAGAGTTTTATGTATAAACGTTTGAGGTAGCATCTGAGCTGTTATGAAATGCTCAGGGTAGTCCAGTGTGTGTGGTGAACAGTGATGATAAAGTGTGAAGAGCCCACTCAACTCTGGGCTCACATTTGAATCTTTGCGTGTTCATGTTGCTCTAATCTGTAAAATGCGGAGGGACAGCCTCCTGCCTTTTGTGAGGATCAGGTAATGTGCAAGACTGCTTCGAGAGCTAACATGTTTCCAAATACAAAGGGACATTTTTAGCATATGTGAATATGTGTGTTGATGTTAATACAACAAGGCACAAACGGGTTAAGCAATAAGAAAAATAAAAAATGTGAAAAATTAATTCTTCCAGAACTTGATTGGTCAAGTTCTCATGAGGTGAGCATGGCATTAACAAAAGCCAGCCAGACATGAACACAATAGAAGGTAAAAGGGAATTCGTGAATCAGGGCTTGTTAATTTGTGAATGGAAAAGGGATAGAAAAGGTGTGCAGTAAAGAGTTCAAAAAAGAGAAGTGGTTAAAAGGAAAAAAAAGCTGCAGTGAATAGTTTCCCTCTCATCTAGACTTGCAATTCTTTCCAGGGCCAGTCATTTTTGTTTCCTGTGCATTCTCCTGGAAGTATTTGAAGGCACAGATACATTCTCTATTTGTGAATCTGCTGAATTTAAAAGAATTAAAATATTAACCATTAATGATGAAATTCCTTATATATTCCTATAGAATTGTATTTTTCTTACTGATTTTATTTTATTTTTTCTTTCTTTCTGGGACAGTAGAAGACATTGAACTCTGGGCCTTCCTACTAAGCTGCATCCTCAGCCATTTTAAAAGTTTTCTATTTTGAGACCGGGTCTCACCGAGTCACTACACTGCCCCACTTGGGTTTGAAGTTGCAGTCCTCTTGCTTTGGCCACCCAGAGTGCTGGAATACAAGTGTGTTTTGTTTGTTTTTTTAAATACCATGTATAGTATCTTCTCACTTTTAAAGTCACACCAAATAGGGGCCAGGGTTTTAGCTCAGCAGCATAAGTGCCTGCCTGCCTGCCAAGTACTAGGTTGTGAGTTCGATTCCTGGTACCAAAAAAAAAAAGCACACTAAAATGTATAAATACTAACCACACTGATACATTGTATATCTTGCGCCTCCCTCTTAACTGCATATTTTATGGTTTAATTTATATTGCTGAGCAGTTTTTCTTGTTAAGATACTGGGGATTGAACCCAGGACTCTGCACTGAACTACATCCCTAGTCCTTTCTTAATTTCTTAAATGGTTGAGGGAGGCTCTCACTAAGTGGATAAGTTGCCCACACTGTCTCAAATTTGTGACCCAGCATCCCAGAGTGCTGGGACTAGGTGTGTTCTTTTGCACCTGGCTCAGGATATCCTTCTGTATGAGAGATTATGTAATTTGTTTAACCAGCCCTCAGTTTTTGAATTCCTGGGCTCGAGCCATCCTCTTGCCTTATCCTTCCCAGTAGCTGCAGTTACAGGTGTGTGCCACTGTGCTGGTAGCTGCTGAATTGTTAGACTGATACCAGTCTTCGGTTAAAGCTGACCATTTGATTCTAGAGTGGTGTGTCTCTGGGGTACTTTTCTAGTAGGGGACTGCTGTGCACTTTACATGAAGATGCATTTGGCCCCGTTAACTTTGGGAATGCATCTCTGTTCACGTGGCCCTTGGTCACAAGATGACATCGTCTGTTACTGATTGGTTGTTACTGATGAACTTGGGAGTCTCCAAACTCAACGACTTGCTTGCTGAATGTTCCTGGCTAACAGGAGCATCTTTCTGATGCTTCCTGGGTCTTCTCTCCCCCACTGCAGGCCTTAGGATCCCATGGCAGTTGCAGCAGTGAAGTGGAGAAGGAGACCCAGGAGAAGATGGCTGTCCTGCAGCACTACTTCCAGCAGAACAGGGAGGAGGTCCTGGACAACCTCCTGGCCTTCGTCTGCGACATCCGGCCAGAGATCCATGAAAACTACCGCATCAATGGATAAAAGAAAGAAGTACCCACTTCGTGGATTGGCATTGCAGAGGCTCTCATGGAATATGAAGCTTTAGCAAAGTTGATTTCTCCTCTTAAGAAATGCATTAAATTATTTCTTACATTGTATAATAGTTCCTTTCTCCTTTGGAGAGTACCTTATCTTGCTTCTTTGGACAAACATGTACCTTTTCCAAAGATTTCATCTTTTACCTCATATTTCTTAGAAATGTAATGAGTATATGTTGTCTATTTTCCTGTACCTTTTAGCTCAAGCAACATGTATATCAGTATTGACTTTTTCTTTCTTAGATTTAGTAGGAAAAAAGAAAAAACAATTCTTTAAAGAAAGGAGGGAATAAATAACTTGTTTCCCTTACACTTTCTTCAAGGTCAGGAGCTTTATCTATGAAAAAGTAGTAAATAGTTATCTGTAACTTGTGTGAAGCAGCAGCCAGCCTTAAAGTAGTATATTCTGAGGAAGGATTAGAACAGTGAATATGAATATACTTCCTTGGGCTGCACTTAGGTTTTTTTAACCAAAATTACTAGCTGAGCGGGGCGTGGTGGTGCATGCCTGTAATCCCAGCACTCTGGAGGCTGAGTGAGGCCAGAGGATCACTAGTTTGAGGTCAGCCTGAGCTACACAAAAGAAAACAAAACAATTTACTAGATGATAGGACTCCAGAACTTGTTACTTCTTGTTATTTGGTGTTATCATTTCCAAGTAAAAGTAAAGACTTTGTCATCCATTTTTATCCCTCTGGTTCATTCTTTTTGATACTGCAAAGTGTACTTTGATCAAATGTTCTACAGAATTTCACTTAGGAAATTGTATGTGTCACATTTGCATACATCAGAAAATGTTCAAGCGGTGCATTTTAGGGGGAAGGAAATGGCTTGTGATATCACTGTTTTTGAAAAACTGCAAGCTACCAGACAGTGATGTCTTTCTCTAGAGCACCTTGTGACAAGGAGCCTGCTAGAGGCCCAAGGGGAGGCTATCTGGGGGGGGGGGGCACTGTCTTTAGTGTCTTTATACTTCACTCCTAGGTGTAAGTGCCCTGTGGGTCTTGTAGACTGACAGTCTTTCCTTTGTTGCAGAATTCATTTCTGGTAGGTAAAAAGCATTGAAAAAGAACATTAGGGGTTTTCCTAGCTTGTTGTGAAATGGTATGAAACAAGTACATAATGTTTTTTTTTAAACTCCTGTATTGTCTCAGGGTGGTCTGATCTTAGGCCACTTATGTCTCTGGTTACTATTTCACTTCTGTTCCTTTTTATAGTTGAAGGCTTGTTTTGTACAGTTAAACACTGCAGATGTGCAGCTCCACTAGAGCTGCCTGTGCAGCTCAGCAGTGCTGTCCCAAGTGCGGAAATCCCGTTCTGTGCTCCCTTGATCTCCAGTGCAGTTTGTGAATGCTGGCCACTCCTTCCTTGGACCTCTTTGCTTCCTCTGCATGGATGCACTTTTTCTTTCGGTGGTTCTCTTTGTTCCTCTGCCTTTCTCAGTGTCTTGTTGGACTTTACATTCCTTGGTCAGATCATCTTCATTTCATAGCTTTTAGTACCATCTGTATTAATTGCAATTTGTATTTCCAGCCCAACTCTTGGATTGGTTATTTGATTCCCCCCCACCCCCCACCCCGAACTGGGGAGTGAACCAGAGCCAGGACACTGAGTTACATCCTAGCCCTTACTTTTTATTTTGCAACAATCTCATTAAGTTAGTAAGTTACCCAGGCTGGCCTCAAGCTTTTGATCCTTCTGCCTCAGCCTCCCAGAGTGCTGGTATTACACACATGTGCTACCTCACCTGGCTGCTGGCCTGATGAATATCTGGCCTGATCTGCTCTGTGGGCCTAATGAATATCTCCATCCTCTCCTGTCCCAAACGCTATGCAGTTTTTGTTCACTATTTGTTTTTAGTATGGTAAACGTTGGTAGTACCTAACCTTAACATACTGCCTATACAAATATCCCAAACTAGAGGAACATGAAACAGTATCTTCATTCATTTAGAGCTACTTTTTAAAAATTGTGCTGAGAATAGAACCCATGGCCTTGTACGGCCAGTCAAGTGCTCTGTCATGGGTCCCTATTCCAACCTTTAAGAAAAAATTTTTTTACTTTGAGACAGGCACTGGCCCAGGCTGGCCTTTGTCTTTGATCCTCCTGCCTCAGCTTTCTGAGTAGCTGGGATTACAGTCCTGTGGCATCGCATCCAGCTAGTATAATTTTTAACCTTGTTGATCCCAGAATACTTCCTGTGGATTAATAGGGTTGTGCGTGTGTGACTGCTTTTCTGAGCCAGGCAGCTCACTGAAGCCAGTGGGAGTATTTTAGAAGCACCTGCAAGGACAATGTAAGCTCTGGAAAGTAAGGAGTTTGATAACGTGGAGAGGAGCCTGAATGGTTTGAATAAATGAGTGAAAAAGTGCTGTGGAGAGCAGCTGAGCAGTGGCTGGTGGGGCTGATGTGCTTTAGTGCTGGTGGGGAAGGTTTAGGATGAGGGTGTAGGAGTGAGATCCCGGAGTGGGCTGGGGACCCTTGTAGCCAAGGGCATAGGTGAGGGGGTCCCCATAGTCTCCCTGACTGTTCTTGGGGAACTGGTGGGTGCTCAGGTCTTCGGTGGGCCATTTGGGTCTTAGGATGGGGCCAGGGAGTTTAAGGGAAAGGACTTGAGTCTACTGAGATTTTAGGTATATAAGGCTAAAACCACCGGAGATAAGTGAGGTAGGTGGATAGGTTCTCGGAATAAACTCAGGATACATAATGCAGAAGAACATGTAGTTTATTTTCATTTGAGCATAGAAGGATAGGATATGCACATAATTTACGTTTAATGCAGAGTATAATGAAGTAGAAGAAATGTAACGGTGAACCCTGAAGACCTTGGACCTCAAGAGGGTTTTTGTTACAGTGTACTTAATCCGTCACAGCCCTAGCAGTGTCCCTGATCTCTTACTGTAGATGCCAGTAAAAACCAGTTAACAACAGCCATGACAACCAAAAATGCAATAGGACATTGTGTCATATCCTTCAGGTGCCCAAAGTATCCCCAGATTAGAACTGTTCTTGCAGCAACAAGAAAGGAATTATTAAAAATAGAGCAAAGGACTACATATGGTTCCTGGAACATTCTAAGTGCTCAACAAATGTTTCCTGTTTCTGAAATAAAGGTTTATTTCTTGCAAAGTTTGGTACAATTTGGATGATTTCAGTGCAGCTGTTCTCTGTGTGGTGACTTGGTGGTTCAGGCTGCTTCCAGTTTCTGGCTCTGCTGTCTCATTCTTCTTATGACTGCAGATTCCGGAAGAAAAAGCTGGTGAATGTGCACCAATTCTGCTTCAGACCTGAAATGACACATGATAACCTGTGGTCAGCTTGTTGACCAATACAGGTCACCTGACCCAACCTGACTGTAAGGGAGGCTGAGCAAAGGGAGCTGTGGATGGTCACTGAAAAAGAAACTTTCTAAAGTGCCAGCAGTCACTTTTTACATGGCAGCTAATGTTCTAAGAGCTTGTAGCTAACAAGTTTAATCCTTGGCCACTCTTTACTGGATTTGAGGCAAAGGTTTAAGGCACCAGCCCATGGTTGCAAAGTAATAGCCAAAGTTTTTAATCTGCACCCTGAACTGCTGTGCATACAGCGTCTAGCTTATAATTGTATGCGTTTTATGAATCTTGTGTGATTCTTTACCCTCTGCTTTCTCCGGTTTCTAAACTCCTGGCCCGTAATAGTCCTTTGGGCAAGATTGCAGTTGCCTGCAGTACTGCCTGTTACAAGCATAGAAACTGACCATTTCATTTGGTGTCATAGTTCAGACTTCAGATATCCCTGATGGAAAGTGTTAAATAATTTACAGTAAGGCATTGTATAATCTTGTGGGTAATTTACACAAATTGCCTGAATATTTGGAAGAACACATTTTTTCCTTCTATATGAAGATGGAGAACTTGGGACCTCATGCATGCTAGACAAGGGTTCTGTCACTGAGTTACAGCCCCAGATTCGTATATTTTAATTTGAGATGGAATCTCGCTAAATTCCCAGGCTGGCCTTGAATTTGCAATCATCCTGCTTCAGTCTCTTGAGTAGCTGGGGTTTCAGGCGTATACCACCACACCTGGCAAAAACAGCTTCTGACAAGGCATATATGGAATCCGCATGTGTCTGGCAGAAAAGACTTGTCAGGTTATGGGAACTTCATAATTACCATGGCCTTGCAGGTTAGGCATTGCAGTCCTACCTCGTGGATGAGACAGCTGAGGCCCAGAAGCTTGTCTGATGATCACAGTCAGACAAAGGACAAAGAAAGGACACCCAAAGTCAGATGAGCAGCCTGCAGGTTGAAGCAGAAACCTACTGTGGCTGCGGCGGCAGGCTGTTGGCGAGGCCCAGGGGCTGCAGGGCTCAGCGTCCTCTAACGGGAAAGCTGCTGGGGCTGGCTGAGTGAGACCTGCAGCTTACATTCTGCAGTTCTTGGCACACTGGCCTTTCTTCCACTCAGGAAGACTGATGGCAGCAGAAGTCCACTAAGACTGTCTGATGGCAGGATGAGCTGCGATGAGTTCTTTATGTTTCTCATTTTTCACTGTTATTTTTTTTTTTTTTCTCTCCTTCAGGGACAATCTGTCAGATGCCAGTGTCTTTCTTGTCAGCTGATCTCCCAACACTTCAGTTACTGGAAGTCCTGCAAAAGCCTCCAAGCAGACGGTTCTAGCTTTGCTTTTTCCTCCTTCCCATACTAGTAGGAGATCTTGGAAGGGTTAGATACATTCTTTACTGACCTAGCTGGCCAGTGATGAGAGGAGAGGAAGCTGCTAGAGCACTGTATCAACATTTACCTTCTCTGGCTTTTTAAAAAGCATCAAATGATGCTGATTGGCTCCTAGATCAAATGTGAATTCAAAGCCACAGCTTAACTACATTTGGGGGAATTTCTGATGGAGGTGGGTGGGCTTGGAGGGTTTGGGGACAGCTTTCCCTTTCCTCTCTGCTTGACGGCTTACGGAGGAAAGAGTGGCAGCATTCTGGAACAGATGGCAACCACAGTTGAAGATGCATCAAGAAAGAAACGGGCTGCCTACAGTTCTCCCCTGTGGTTTTGTGGAAGAGGCAGGCTGTCTACTGAAAGCCTGGTTACTTGCGGTTCCCCGCCCTCCTCTTCCCAGCCAGGTGTGAGTTCTCCTCTTCTGTCTGCCCCACTTTTCTCCTTTGTATCTGCCCCTGGCACTCTTCTTTCTTAATGTTACATAGAAACAGATCTGTAACACCCCTTGGGTGGATTGTGGCCTTTCTGACAGAAATTCAGAGTACTTTTTTTTTTTTTCTGGTTTTGACCCCAAACTTCAAACTTCTCTGATGAATAGCGTGTGATTTGTCCTACTCCTGGTGTGCTGAGTCCCAAGTTCTCAGGTGCTGTCAGCTTATATCACGCACCCCCACGATGGAGCTCATCATTCGGCCAGTGATGTCCAGGAGTTGAAATGGACATCATGGAGCCACTAGCAGTGGAACCGTCTGTGAAACAGTGTTGGAAGTAACTTTTAAACAGTTCACTTTTGTAAAAATCAGTAACAATTCAGAATGCTTTTTATACATAATTACATTCATTTTCTGTCTCTCTGAGATGGGTGTTATTCCTATTTATAAATTAGGAGGATGAGGCCCAGAGAGATCAAGTCAGTTGCCCAAGGTGAGAGAGGTAATTAATGGCAAAACCTCGTCTGAATCCAGGTCTATCTAACTTCCCAGGCTGAACTCTGATTGATGCTATTTAAGTAACCACAATGTTTCATACACTATGTTTCTAAAAACGTTTAGGAATGTCATTGAATCTGTAACTGGTAGACTAGTTCCAGAAAATCAGACCTAATCTTTGATCTTTGCCATTTCACTCACCCAGCTGTTCTCAGGCTCCCTCCAAGATTATGTTGTGTGACACTGAGATTCTGCAAAGCCAGAACACAGTTCATTCTGTTACTTCATGCAGGTTGCTAAATAGGGTTGGCAGCCAGCCCTCAGTTGTAATCTGTGACTCTTGCAAAAACAGCCGGACAGATGGAGCAATTGCTGAGTAATGGTGGCTTTGGCTGGGATTTGTGATTATTTGGATTAGTCTGTAGGTAGGACCCTGATTTTATTTCTACCTGATTTCATCCCCGTCTGTCTAATCAGTACCTAGATGCACTGGAGGCAGCATGCTGGGGTAGCTGTGAGCATGGGCGTAAAGAGCCTGGTACCCCAGAGGTTGGTTCTGTTTCTGAGAAGGGAGAATTGCATGATGACTAGACACTGTCTGGTAGGGGTAGTTGGAAGTTGAACAAGGGTACCACTGAGAGGGGGGACTGATCTAGGCCCAGGGCAGAAAAGGGCTCCCAGATGAAGGCCCTGTGAATGAGGTGATGAGGTGGAGCTGAGCTCTGGGCACACATTCCAGATGGTGAGGGAATGGCAGCCCCTGAAAAAATGAAAGTGAGAGAACTAGGGTAGAGGAGGAACTGAAAGAGCCTTTGTGTTTGTGGAGCTTAGGGGTTTTAGGGACTTGGGAAAGCCAGATTAGTCCAGGATAGGTCTGGGATAGGGAGTGGCTTGATGTCACCACAGAGGCCCTCTGAGTCCCTTATCTCTGAAGGGACTTTCCAGCAGTCTTGACTGGATTTACTCCCCTTTTGCTGGATTTTGTTGCCATTTTTTCATGAAACCTCCCCCCACCCCCTTACCCCCACCCCTGCCCCCATCCAGGGCACAGTGCCAGGGCTGAGCTGGCCCACCAGCTCCAGAGGCCCGCCTTCTGCACCTCCCTGGTCTTGGGGGTTGATGTGTCAATGTGTCAGCTGGGGCTGGGTGACCAGCAAAGGGGAGGAAGTGTGAAAGTAGCCTGGCAGAAAGGGCAATAGGACCGGCTGGCCTCATGGAGGAGGTAGGTCTTGTTGGATCCAGGGGCCAGGCCGCACCCACTGCATTATGATCCTTTTCAATACAGCATCAGCATTTAGTAAAGCTCCCTGGGTCTCTTGCTCCTATACCTTTCAGTTGCTTTTTGTTAAACACACTTCATAGGGACCTTATAGGCAGTCTTCCCTGCTGTCCAGTACTCAGCTGACACTCATGTGTGGCTTTGCTGGTAAAGAAATGAACTTCTTTCTTAGAGCCCTCAGCTTGGTGAATAGTAACGTCGGGGTAGTATCTGCTACTTAAATTTTTTATTACTGCTTGTTGCCTCCAACTGCTGAACCTCCCGGCTGGATGTATATGCAAGAAACTAAGTCCTGTGGTCCTGTGGTAATTTTGCAGAATTTGTTGAAATTAAAACAGTGCAAGTACCCTAGTATAAATGGAAGTAGTGGTAATAACATGAGCATGTACAACCTTGAACTTATCTGGCTGAGTGGGAACCACTTACAGGCTCATCAAGAGGACTGGGCTGGGAAAGGCGAGCTCTTTGTGCTTGTGGAAGTTTAAAAGAAAACCTTAAAAGAAAATGAACTTTAAAAGAAAATGGGATAGAGTGTTTTGGCAAGGGATGTACACCCCACTACTTTGTTGAATAAAAAAGCAGGATCCCAGCAGGTTGGGACACAAGCCTGTCATCTCAGTGCCTAGGAGGCTGAGGCAGGAGAATCCAAAATTTGAGCTTAGCTTCAGCAACTTAGTGAGACCCTGTCTCAAAATGAAAAAAAAATTTTTTTTAAAAGGTCTGAGGCTGTAGCTCAACGTAAAGGTCCTGAGTCCTTTCTCCTATTCCTCCCTCAAAAAAACACAAAAAACAAAACAAAAAAACCCCCAGCAACTGTTTGCTTTGTATAAATACACACACATGCACACACATACACATGCACACGCACATGCACACATTCCACATATGTGATCCTAGGAAAAATGCACAAGATCAGTGCTTTCCAAGAGTGACGACATGGAAGATGGTAGGCAGCATGCAGTGCCAGTGCAGTTGTGACCATCAGTGAGCAGGTATAACATTCCAGTAGTTTCCAATACTCCGGATTATCTCATATTTTTACACAACACCATGAATCTAACGAATGACTTTTAAAGATAACGAAGACATTGAGAGGTTAAATAATTGCCAGAGATGATGATATTATAACAGGAATGAGAGGCTAGGCCTGCAGATGCCCAATGGGTAATTAAACGCGGGGTACAGTTTGGCATCTCTACCTTCAGTTGAGTACTTTATCTTAAAACTCTGAGTAATCTATCTTAAAAACTGAGCAGGACAAAGCCCTGCTCAGCTCTGTGAGGCAGGTTAAACATTTGGAATGTGTTCTATTACAAGGTTTATTAGCCCTCAATTTACATAACTTATCCCATCTCCCTTCAAGGCAGCAGGACATCAAAGTAAGAGTAACACACATGATTTTCAGGGTTTGCAGGGACATGTAATTTTTTTCTATAAAACCCCAAAGCTCTGCCAGGCTTTTCCAAGATAGATCTCAAAAGTCTATCTGTGCTTCCTAGCAGGCCATGATGAATAAAGTTGGAGTGCTGGGTCAGCCAGCCTAGTCTGGTTTGTTGGGACCCCAGGGACCGCGGCTTTTGCCCCCAAACTCCAGAACCAGAGGTGCAGAGACCTGGATTGACACGCAAATAAAAAGATCCGAAACCCATCCTCTTACTCATGACCCTGGGTACCAATTTTTCATTATAAACAGGCCGCTGAAAAACTTTTGATCTCAAATGTTGCCTCAGCCACCGTATCCCGTGGTTCTGTGTCATCCGGGAGAGGTGAGCCCGCGGGAGCGCGTCCTGGCCCGGGCGCGCTGAACCCCAGGTCGGACGCACGAGGTCGGCGCGGGCGCGCGGGCCCTTCCGGCGCCCAGGGGGACGCGGCTGATGAAACGCGGCCGCGCAGCTCGGCTGGGCCGCGGGCCTGGAAGACGCGCTCCCTCCGGGCCGGGGCAACCTAGCGGGCGCCTCCTCCCGCCAGGGTGACGGAGCGCGCCTGCAGGGCCGGGGGCGGGCCCAGGGGCGGTGCGGCGCCCGGGAGGCGGGCTGCGTGAGCGGCGGAGCGCGGACGCTGCGGAGCTGAGGGGCGCGGTGCCCCCGACTTTCCGCGGCCCGGGCGGCGGCGGCGGCGGCCCGTAGAGGCGGTGAGTGTGCGCGCGCCCGAGCGCCCGCGATCCCGGGTCGAGGCCGCGCGTCGCCTCCGGCTCGGCCTGGTTGGCGCTAGAGGGCGGGGGTGGTCCGGGCGGGCGGCGGTGTCCGGGCTGCTGTGCGCGCCTCTGGGCCTCCTCCCGGAGAGTGGCCGTGGCAGCTGCTCTCCCTGGGGCGATTCCTGGGGTGAGGGAGACTCCTCCATCCCTGTCCCAGGCAGCTGACCTGCACAAGACAGGGGGGCAGAAATAGGGGCGAGAGCTGGCTGGCCTACGCCGTCCACAGTGGGACATCTCGAGCCTCCAGGAAAGGGGGTTTCAGTTCTGGCTTGCTCTGGGTGGCGTCTTGATGTTGGGTAGTTCACTTTGCTTTCTGGGTGTTAGTGTGCTTATCGGTAGAACCGGGAGTTGGACTCAGCTTTCCAGGTTTTTCCACCGCAAAACTTTTGGTGACAGGGCCTCTTATGGTCTCTTGTTGGATTACTGGTTTAAAAAAAAAAAAAAAACAACAACAAAAGGAACCAGGCTGGGGAGGAAGATGGTAGTTTCTCTTTCCCTGTGAGGAATCTCAGGCGGGCACATAGTTACTGGGGAGTCTGGGCAGCCGGTGTCAGGAGAGGAAACCCTCTGGGGAGTTGAACCTGTGTGAGGAGGTGGAAGAATGGAAAACTGCACTATAATGCAGAATCCCCCAAAGCAGCTGTTAAGTCTAGACTGTGCCCAGTTAGTGACCCAGGTCTCAAGACTCTGCTCTGCCGTGTTCTCTGCCTGCACCCTGGTGCCTGGCGCTCGCCCTGTGCTGCCCCAGGGCTGAGGAGGATGGAGCCTTGAACACCTACAAGGGTAATAGTGAGGTCCCCTTCCTGTCTTGCCATCACCCCATTCTATCCTCTGCAGCTTTGGTTTGGGAGAGGGGCTGTCTTCAAGGTGGGTGTATAGAAAACTGGGGTCACTGGGCACAGTCCCAGCTGCCCTAAAGGGCCCATCTTGGCTTTTGATCTGAACCTGTACCTGCTTGGCACTGGCTGCTCTCATCTCTGCCTTTGCCGAGCCCCGGAGCCTCCTTGAGGAAGCCTGCAGAACCCGTCCCCCTACCCCAGGCTTCCTTCTTACCACCTTGTTTGGTTCTTGTCTGCTTGGTAGCTCTGGTGAGTCCGTCTTTCCCCAAGCCAATGGTGATCCCCAGTACAGAGGACTGAATGGGAATTTGAGATTTTATCTCTGGTTTCTGTAAAAATAAAGACAACTATATTCTTTTAGCGATTGCTGTTTTCCCAGTTCTGGACTAAGAGATTTACCTGTGTGGACGCTGAGCTTCACAGTTGAAGGTTGCTGTTATTATGCCCACTTCCGAGGAAGGATATTGAGGCAGAGAGAAGTCCAGTAATTTGCTCAGGGTCACCTAGGTGGGAAGTAGCAGGACCGGGCAGGTTACTTTTAGCCACTGCACAGAACTGCATCTGATGAATAAATGAAGTCTGTTGGTTGGGACTTCATGGAGCCAACTGCCTTTGGTGGAGTCTGGAAGCCCTCAGACCTCTGTGACTCCTGCTTGTGTGAGGTACTTCCTCGTAACTGAGTCCCCCAGGAATCTGTGAGGCTCCAGTACAGCTTCTCTGGTTGCAGGCTCCTAGCTACAATGTCCCTGGGTTCTTTGGAACTTGAATGCTAAGGTTCTGTTGCCTCATGGGCCTAGCAGGTGATTAAATGAAGCTGAGAAGGGCTTCAACAGTTATCTGTATCTGTGGGGGTACAAGGTAAGAGGAAGGAAGTGAGGCACCGTAAGATTGGCTGGTAAGTGCTCAGTGTTTATGAGAGTGCTGTGGCACGGTGAGGAGAAGACCCTGCTCTTCCCAGGGAAGCATCTTAGGCTACCTGGAGTTTGTTTCTGGATCACACCTGAACATGTGGTCTTGTCTGTCCTGTTTTGCTTCAGGGTATTCTAGGACCAGTCTCAGAAACAGCCGGGCCAGGCTGGTCCAGAGTGCAAGGCTTGGAAGTTGTGAGCCTGGACGCTGGAGCCACACAGCTGGAGTTCTTCCCTGGCTCCTGAACTCACGTTGCCCAGCTTATACATCACGACATTTTACTCTCAAGTTTTCTTTCCTCTGAGAAAGGGGAAGTATTTTGAGGAAAGGGGCCTGTAACGTAGACAGAATACTGGATGTCGTGCTTGAGGTACCTCTGTCACATCTCTAGCAGCCGAGCCAGGCAGATGCCCCCACCGCCTTTTACAGATGGGAGCAGCAAGGTTCAGGTTGGATTCCTTGACAGTGACTGTCACAGGCTGCGTGAGTGGCTGAGCAGAAATTCAAGTCCAGGCATTTTGAGTGAAGTCTTTAACTTCTTTATACCATCTTGCAGCTTTCTGGCTTTGGAGAATCTGGGCAAATGTATAACCACTGTTTAAAAGATCTTTTATTTATTCCCCTTCTCCCCTAGTAGTGAGAATTGAGCACAGTATTGCTCTGAGGAACATTTCCAGTCTCCTTTTAAATTCTAGTTTTTCCTTTGAGACAGGGTTTCATGTCACTAAGTTGCCTGGGCTGTGCTTGGTCTGCAGTTTGCATGCCTCCCAGAGTGCTTGAATTACACCACACCCAGATCCATCTTTTATATATTTTTGTTGGGAGATGGGACTCCTGAGTAACCGCTTGCAGCTGAAAGTCAGGACCAATTTCAGGTATTATGTAACCAACTGATGCCCCCTATCCCCTAGGCCTCTCCCCCAATTTGTTTAATTTGGTTTGGTTGCTGTCACCATCTTGAAATTCTTCATTTCTGAACAAGGGGCCCACACATTACGTGGCGGGGCCTGTGTTAGGTGTTGAGAGAGGTGGAAGGTGATGGGCGCATGGGTGTCCTGGGTCTGGCTTGCTCTCCAGCAGCATGTGCCGCCCGGATACTGCATGGCCTCCATAGTACCATCAGCCATGGCCACAGATTCTGCTGGACTCTCAGCAGGACTTTGCGGAGGCCTGGGTGCCGTTCCAGGGAACTCATCCTGATTTTACCAGGCAAAGGGAAATTCTCAGATTCCTAGGTGGACTCGAAAAAGGGTGCAGTGTGCAAGCAGCTACCTGAACACGTGGTCTGGAGGTCCAGTTTTTCATTCAAGAGAGGCCCACAAAGAGTGTCGCTGCCGATGCTGAGGAAAGTGACCAAGGGTGGTGCCCACTGTGCTTCTCAGTGTCCTGGCTCTGGAGGCTTCGAAGGCGTTTCCAATCCCTTTTAGAGCCAAAGGCTGGCACGATGCATTGTTCCCCTTTGCCTGCCTTCTTCTTTGACTGTTTTACTGCTGCTGTTTCTACATTAGCTTTGGCTGCTTGGGAGCTCAAAATGAAATTCTGGGCTCATGCACGGCGGCTCGGTCACATATCCAAACAGCAACCAGAACAATGTGTTTTTAAAGAGCTAATATCCATGTACTGCATCATTTGGTCCAGATGCTGCTGCACGTCCTTTGATTTAGTTATTTTTGGTGGTCCTGGGGATTGAGCTACTTCCCCAGCCCTGTTTTTTATTTTTATTTATTTTTTTATTTTGAGGCAGAGTTTCTCTAAGTGTTAACTTTTGCAAGGCTGGATTCTGACTTTCAGGCTTCATGCTTCAGCCTCCCAGAGTGCTGGGATTGACCTGGCTGTGCTTTGTGTTCTTTATTCCTTTATTCTTTGCAGAGGCCCAGTGAGGAGTGTTTTTTGATTTGCAGAGGTGGAGGTGTGAGGTTAAACCATGTGGCTAACTTTCCATAATCAGTAATGGGGCTAGGATTTTACCTGGTTAGTCTGACTCTGGAGTCCTCCTCCTTGAACATGCGATCTCAGCTAGGGAGCCTGATTGCTGACCATCTGGGTATTTTTCTGATGCTTTTCCTGTGTAGTTTGCAGTGTCTGGGAGAAGCTCCTTGAGACCTATGGGTAAACAAGGTTCCTGTGGTATCTGTGCCTACCCCCTGCCTGGTCACCTGGGGCATCCTCAGGAAGTAGAAGCTCGAGACCCCTGCGGGTGGGACCTGGTCAGCCTTCCAGTGACCAGCGGGTCTCTGGCGTGTCTGAGGAGCTGCGAGACCAAAAGGGAAGTTCTCAGTCAAGGCCTGGTGGGGCGGGTGGTAGTTAGTTCCTCTCCTTCTCCCTCTAAGAAGTTTCCTAGGCCTGGTCAGAAACACTCAGGTCAGCATGAAGACTCTGGTGCCCCTCCGTGGCCTTTTCTGGCTTTGGTCTCAACTCCAAGAAGCCCAGCCTGCCCAGACCCCCACCTGAAGTTCTTTTTCGTGTTGTATTCTGCCAGGAAGTGGAGCTGAGCTGACGGCTCCAGCAATGAAGCACAACTCTGGGAAGAAGTAGAATCCGCCTGGCTCCCTCCATGGCCTGTGAGCCGCAGATGGACCCCGGCGTGGCAGCCAGTCCGCTGCCCACCTCCTCACCCAGCTGGGGCACACTGCCTGGCGGGGGTCCTCCTCCAAGGTGGGGACAAGGTAAGGTCATGACCTTGCATCTCCTTTCCCCACTGCCTGCTGCTGATTTGAGCTCACTTGCCAACTTCCAGGGCAGAGGAGGGGTGCAGAGACCCTTCCATAAGGGTGGGTGGCTTCAGAATCACTTCTAGGCTACTTTGTCTCATTTCTAGTTCTCTGTATCCCCACATCCCTTCCTCACTCTTGCCTCCCAACTGGTCTTCATTTCTCTTTCCATGGCAGCAGGAGAAAGCGTTCTCAAAGGCACATCCACTTCTGCTTCAGTGTCTCCCATTGGGCACTTCGTGAAGACCCATCATTCACCAGCTTGCACGGCCTGCCCTAATGGCTTCTGTTGCCCTTTTGTTTTTTGCCCTGCTGTTCTGCCACAGGGCCCTTGTACATGCTGTTCCTTACATTGTAGAGTACTTGCCTAGCACTTGGGAGTCCCTAAATTCCATGTGTAGGCTGCAGAAGGGCAGGGGCTTTGTGCTGTGCTGTGCATGCTTATGTATCTGCAGCACCAGTGCAGGGCTTGGCCCGTTGCAGATGCTCAACAAGTGTTTTGCGGAATGAAGGAGTGAATGAGTGAATGTGTGTGTGCCGGGTATAGGCAGGGAGAAGCAGCACTGTGAATTGTGGGGCGTCCACAGGAATGTGGCTGGTCACCTAGAGAGCTGGAATCTCCACAGCTTCAAAACAAGGGTTTCTTTTATGCGTACCCTAATTAAGGAAGCAGTTTATCCACGTACACATCCAGCAGTGATGGAGCGAAGTGGTTTACCTGCAGGACTTTAAGACTTCGCTCTCCTGGTGTTTGGCAAGCCCGTTCTTGCTCCTCTGTAGCAAACTGCACCATCCCACATGCATATGTCTGCGTGTGCACACAAGTATTTTTCTTTGGTAGCTTTTCTTAGCCTAGGTGTAAAAACAACTATTTCTGAACGGAGGACTTGCTGTCCTCCTTTCAAAGGGACGTAGGAGAAGCAGGATTGCTGAGAATTCAGAACTCTTGGTTTGAAAGGTGAACAAAGACACAGTGAGAGGTTTTTGCACACCTGCTGGGCAGAGAGCGTGGCTGGGGAGAGAATCGAGCCACGTGGGGCTCTCGCCTGGCTGTGCGGTGGGAGCCAGGCTGAGACAGCACCCCTTTCCACGTGAACACCCCTGACTCCAGCGTCTCGGAGGAGTCGGGGAATATGGGATGAAGCTCGCAGCCTGCTGCCTGGTGCAGAGTTAGGCTGCCACGCCCAGGGCCTGTTCTTGTTCTCTGCCTTTCTTTTCTCTCTGTCTAGTCTTCCTTGTTTGCATATTCTTCCATTTCATTTTTATGAAGCCCCTTGCGATCCTTCTGGGATGGATGGTATGGGAGGATCAGAAAGAAAAAAATACAGCTAAGTCAGTGCTGGTTTATGGTAACTTTAGAGTTCTGACCAGTTTGGTTTTTAGATATGAGAGCAGCAGGCCAGTGATTTGGCGCCTGTTTTATCGTCTTGTGATGATTGGCAGTGTCCTCTGCAGTGGCCGTGACTGTCCTCTAAGGGCAGATTCAGGCCAGGGCTTTAAACTGCGTCTTTAAGTTTGTGATGTCAGTAACAGGTTGGGTTGTGAGTGGAATCTCAAGGCTGTTTGGCTGTGCTTTCTCTGCGTCCCTCATTCCTCCTCAAACGAGCGGGGAGAAGGGAGAGGGGGAAATAGAAAGATCCTTTTGACAGGATGCAGACTTTCAAATGTTATGGAATCCTGAAAAGAACCCTACCAGCGGGTGTGGTGGCACAGGCCCGTAATTCCAGCACTCAGGTGACTGCGATTGGTAGAGCCTAAGTTTGAGGCCAGCCTGGATGAGTTCAAGGTCAGCCTAGACTACATAGAGAGACCTTCTGTCAAACAAACAAACAAAATCCTATCAGGATTCAGGATTGGGGACCAAAGTCCTTTCAGATTTTTTTTTTTTTTAGTAGACAGGGTCTCACTTTGTAGCTCAGGCTGACACTTGAACTCACTGTGTGGCCCAGACTGGCTTTGAACTCAGGATGATCATCCTGCCTCACTCCCCTGAGTGCTAGGATTATAGGCGTGTGCCACCATGCCTATGTTAAATGTTAATTATTTATCATCAGACCTGTGTGCTAGGCACTGCAGTCAGCTCTGGGGATTAAGTGATGAACAGTTTTATATGGAAGTGTATAATCTGATGAAGGAGGAGGATAGACTTAACCAAGTCATTGCATACTTACATAACGGAACCATTGCATGCATGTGCATTGTGCGAAGGAGATGAGTAGGAAGTTGTGGGTAGATTGTAGGACCTGATCTTCTAAACGTTGTGAATGTTGCTGAGGGCCCCTTGCAGAGTGATTGGTGAGCTGGCATGTAGAACGTACACAGGATTTAATCAGGAGAAGCTAGATGGAAGTGTTCTAGGGAGTAGAAAAGTATGTACAAAGATCCTGGGGCAGGAGCGAATAATACTATTTAAGGACCAAAAGCAGCAGGTGTGGCTCAAGGTATCTGGCAGAGGACTTTCTTCCTTTCAGCATGGTCAGAATGAATCTTGTAAGCAGATCTCAGGAGAGCTAGAGAAAGCTTTCCTTGAGGGACTGGTGTCATCTGATTTGTGCTGCATCTACTGATTTGTGGGGAATGCATTGTAGGAGAAAGAGCAGGTGTGGAGAAGCCCACAAAGAAGCCTAGTGCAGAGGTGAAGGGAGCCCTAAGGATGCTAGGAGGTGTGTGGAGTTTGCCGTTTCGTTGTACCTAGTAGCAAGACTCAGCAACAGAATGAATGAGGCAGGGGACAGGATTGTGCTTGGTGGGCAGAGGAGTCATTTGGATTTAAATCCTCTGGTATAGCTGGCTGATGTGATGGGAGCTTTGGGCCAGCAAAGAATCTGTTTATGGTTCATTCCCATCTCACTGTGTAGGTGGTGGCCACAGCCAGGGTACACAAGAGTGCATCTACAGCTGTGGATGCTCAGCCTGGGATCCTGCTGTCTCAGGGCTGGTGGACCCATGATTCCTCTGGCTGCTGACCAGGGTTCACGGTGAGGGGAGGAGATCCCAGTGGTTTGGTCTGGAGGCTGAACAAGAGAGTTGGACTTGGGGGATTTCAGGTCTTTCCCTCAAACCGGCCTCACCCACCACTCTAGGCAAGACTCTGGGTAGCTCTTTTGACCAATTGGGTTGATGGTGTTTTTTAAGTAAAGACTTCATATGTTAAATGTGCCGAAGATATGCTTGGAGCTAGTTGGAGTGTCCCCTCCCAAACTCACGTAGGAGCTCTATCGCCACTGTCTTGTGTCAAGATGGGGCCTTGCAGAGGTGATGAGGTCAGGGTGGTTCTGCACCCTGCCCCCCAGCATGGATTGGGTTAGTTACATGGAGAAGCCCTCCATGAGGCTCTCACTCTGTCAGCTGAAGCTCTGGTCTCCTTGCAGAGCTGCACAATGGCCAGGTCCTGTCAGTCCTCCGGGTGGACAATACCTGCGCACCCGTCAGCTTTGACCTGGGAACCGCAGAGGAGCAGCTGCAGACCTGGGGCATTCAGGTGAGTGCAACTTTCATTGCGTTTCTGCTTTCTACCTGACCATCCATCTGTTCATCTGTCCATCCATCTATCTGTCCAATCATCTAGTTACTCAAATGTTTGTTGAGCACTTTGTGCTTGTGTGGGCTCAAGCTGTCCTGACTTCCCAGTTTGTTGTGTTAGCACCTGTGTGCTCTGGGCTGCCCACTCTGTGCTAGGCACTTAGCTGAATGGCATAGAGGTGGGCAGGACACAGTACCCACGTTCCTGTGTCAAGATAGATCAGGACAGTAGAGGAAAGTGCAGGGTTTTGAAGACAGTCACAAGAGAAAATGATAAAATGGCCTGCAGATGAGTGGTTATGAAAACCTCCCCGAGGAGTGGAGTTGCTGTGGGGTCTGCAGGATAAATAGGAGCTTGCTGCGTGGGCAGGAGGAAGGGCATGACAGGAGAGGGAATTGCATTCTGCATTTGCAAAGGAAATTTCTCTTGAATTTACTACATTGTGATACAGCTCCTTTCCATGTAGGGAACCCAGACCCCCACTTCACATACCCCTGCCTGTGAGTGCGGGTCCAGTTTGGCTTAAAGTTTCCCTCTGGGAGCCTCTGTGTCATCATCTTCAAGTGAGGACAGCGTTGTTAGTGCCCATTAGGTGATTTTAGTTAGAATTAAATGAAGTAGTGCTGGGGAACAGGTGCACTGCCCTTGACACACAGGGAATGCTCGGTGATTCGCAGTGCGTGCTCTTGGTGTGAGGCGCCATGGGTGTGGTGCCTGGGGGCGCACGCACCTCATTTTGGCCTGAAGATTTTAGAATTTTCTGCTTTTTCTGTTTTCAGTACATGGCATTGTACGCAAGGCCTCGACCCTGAGCTACATCTTCAGCACTTCATTTTCCTTTGTTCTGAGTCAGCATCTCCCTAGATCACTAAATTGCCCAAGGTGGTCTTGAACTTGTGATCCTCCTGCCTCAGCCTCACAGAGTGCTGAGTTACAGATGTGTGACTCCATGCCTGGGTTGCTTCTTTAAAACTGAATTGCATTTTGTGTGTGTGCCAGGGATCAAACTCATGACCTTGTGCTTGCTAGGCACACGCTGTGCCACTGTGCTCAATCCTTGGCCTGAATTGCATTTTTGCTGATACCATTTTTCTTACCATGGAAAGAACAACTTCCAGACACAGTGCCAACCCCATGAGGACAGCTGGCTCCTTCCCTCCTGTTTCCTTTCTGCCTTTGTGCAGAAGAGCATCTTCCTCAAACAGTTTTTTTCAGATTGACTTTGCCTGCTTGTAAACAGTTTGTATGTTTTTCTGCCATCTCCCTTCCTGCCTTTCCTTTCCTCCCTCCCTCCTTTTCCATTCCTCCCCACTTTCCTTCCTTCCTTTCCTTCTTAAGATCAAGTCTTGCTATTCCAGGCTGGCCTTGAATGCACTGTGTAGCCCAGGCTGACCTCAAAATCATGGAGATCCTCCTGCTTCAGCCCCCTGAGTGCTGGGATTATAGGCATGCCCTGCTATGCCCAGCGCCATGTTACCAGCTAAAATTTTTGGTCTGTTAATTCTGTGTTCTCAGTCTGCCTTGGGGGGCCCTGTGTGTGTGGTAGGTAGTTTGGGGTTGAAAGATGAGTAGGCACTTTAGACTGTGTAAATAGATGTCACTTTTTGCCATATGGCTGATAGTATTGTCTGTTCCGGGTTCAACATGCAGCCAGCACTGTGCCAAGCAGTGTTTCTATATGAATTTATTAAATTTGCACCTAAACCTGACATGGTGGGCACCCTCCCCTCCCGTTGTTTGGAGGAGGAAGCTGAGGCTAGGAGAAGGGGCTAACTTGCTTTAGGTCACACGGTCCATACCTGTAAGTGGCATAATCGGAATGTGACCATCCCTGGAGGTGGGTGTGATATGCTGCTTGCTAGCTGGTGGGACCCTGGGGGCTTCCCGTGGCTGATGGATCCCTTTCTCTTGGCTGGCTGTGCAGCTCCCTGCCGACCAGTACAGAAGCCTGGCTGAGAGCGCCCTCTTGGAGCCACAAGTGAGGAGATACATCATCTACAACTCCAGGCCCATGCGGCTGGCCTTCGCTGTGGTAAGGGGGGTGCAGCGTTGTGCCCAGGGGCTGGGGATAAGGGATCGGGGACTGGTGGCACAGGTGCTTGGGAAGGAGCAGTGCCACATAGACCTGGATTTGGTACAGGAGGAGGCCTGTGGGAGGATGGTGTCACAGGTTCCTACAAAGGATGGGCATTATGGATGTGTATACACAGTGTGATCAAAAACTACAGGAGAGGGCCGGGATTTAGCTCAGTGGTGTAAATGCCTGCCTGGCAAGCGTGAGGTCATGAGTTTGATCCCCAGGTGTACCAGGGGAGGGAAAGAGAAACGATGGTGAGTGATTAAATTAAAAATAAATGATTACAGTAAAGGACACATTGTCTTTAATCCCCCTCAGTATCCCGTAGCTTTGAACACACTCATCCCATTGTTCTCACCATTTTCTCAAGCAGGTCTGGAAGTTTTTTCGTGAGTATCTTTAGTTGCCTTGTGGCTGTGTTCATGTCCCGAGTTCATTCAAACCATTTCTCTTTCGTGGTCATTTTGACTGTGGGGAAGAGCGGGAAGTTGCACAGAGCTGGACTCAGTGGCTAAGGTGGATGAGGACAGGCAGTCAGGTGTCTTTACAAGCTTGGCTTCCTGTGGATGGCACTTGGCAGCGGCATTCACTGCGTTTTTGATCACACCCAGTAAAGATACTTGTACGTGGCTGTGCACACACATGTGCACACATAAACACACACATGCCTGACTGAGCTAGTGTTGGACCTCAGGTGATCCAGCTTCTCACCTGTGCCCTTGGCCACTGTGAGTCACTGCTGCTTCATGTGTCGGTGGTCAGACTGCATAGCCAGCTCCACCTCTCACTGCTGGGGACAAGGACGGGGGCAGAGCTAGCATTAATCAGTTCCTAATAAGTGCTGGGTTGTGACATAGGTCGCCTCTCAAACCCGTGTAACAGCTCTGTGAGGACACTGAGAGGTGTCATAACTTGTGAAGGCTGCATGGCAGAGATCAACACATTCACTCCAGAGACCCCTGCCTTTTTCTAGAAAGAAGGATGAGGAACTTCTAAACTGTGGCCTTGACTTCTGCTTATAGACAAGAAACATGAGCTCATGACCACAGACTCAGTGTCAGCATAGGTCACTTGACTCTGAGACCTGTGGGGGCCCAGGAGGGTGGCAGGATGTCCAGAGGGGGTCCCTTTAAGTTTGGCTCATATTCTTGACTGTGCCCTCCCCTGGCTCCTTGCAGGTCTTCTACGTGGTGGTGTGGGCCAATATCTACTCCACCAGCCAGCTGTTTGCCCTGGGCAACCACTGGGCGGCTGTGCTGCTTGTGACTCTGGCTGCGGTGAGCCTGACCCTGACTCTTGTGCTTGTCTTCGAGAGGCACCAGAGGAAGGTGAGACATCCAGGGCCTCTGCCCTGCTACCCCGGAGGGGCTGTGTAAGCCTGAGAGTCCCAAGCGAGACTTTCCTCTTGCCTGCTTTGGAGAATTTCTCCAACCATGAGAATTTACTCCAGCCCTTGTGCCCAGTGACTTTAAAAGAAACAAATCAAATCATGTGCATGATTACATCTCTCTCTCCGTTCATCACAGTCTCTTAGAAAAGGTTTATGTTTGGCTCAGAGTTTTAGAAGTTTCAGTCCATGACCTGTTGGCCCTGCTGCTTTGGGGCCTGTTGCACTGTATCCTGTCATGGTGGCAGCCCACGATGTGGCAAAGCCTCTACCTTGTGGCCCAGAAGCAGAAGACAGATCTTTTCTGTTTTTCTTATCTGTGGATTGACTTTTTCTTTTTTTTTTTTTGAGCCGGTATCTCACTATGTATCTCAGGTTGGCCTCAAATTCATGATCCTCCTGCCTCAGTCTCCTGATAGCTGGGATTACAAGCCTGCACCCTCACATCCAGCTCTGTGTGAGCTGCTTCCTTGGGAAGAAAGCTGTGTTAAGAAACAGTCTGCAAGAAGGGCAGCTGTAGCATTTTGGTTAACTGAGCCTTTCACATACCTCCTCTCCCTGGCGCTCACAGCAGTCCTGTGAGTGAGTGAAGGTTTCCCTCCACTGGGGAGCAGATGTATGCTGTTCCCCCTGTGATGGTGGGTGCGACCTGGTGCTTATGGCAGCCCTGCTACACTTAATCCCAGCCGATCTTAGAAGCTGCTGTGACAAATCACTATAAACGAGGTGGCTTTAAACCGTGCAGGCTTAACATCTTCCTTGTGCGATGTAAGCAACTAGTAAGCATTGTAGGCCCGGCTCTGTGCTCTCTGCAGGCTGTCGGGGAAGAACTGCTTCCTGGGCTCCTCCAGCTCTGTGTCTGCTGAGTCCTTCACACTTCCTCCTTAAGGCCAGCAAGGATGGTGGGATCTTTTTGACAGCTACCTGTCCACCTCTGATTGTTCTGCCTCTTCCACCTTTTTTTTTTTCTTTTGGTGGTACTAGGGACTGAACCTGGGGCTTTTGCACTGAGTTTTGTACCAGTACTTTTTGATTTTTATTTTGAGACAAGGTCTTCCTAACATGCTAAGTTGCTCAGACTGGATTTGAATTTGGAATCCTGCCTCTGCCTCCTAGAGTGCTGGAATTACAGGCATGTGACATTCTGCCCTACTTTTGAGGACGCCTGTGTTTACATTGTGCTAGCTGCACAGTCTGAGATAATCTTATTTTGAGGTCAGCTGAGTAGCAGTGTTAATTCCATCTTTCCCTTATGTATATTTAACAATACTGTCACAGGTGTGTGTGTGTGGAATAGGACTGAGATGTGTTAGGGCCATTATTTTGCCCAGTGCACTGATGCTGTCTTTGCAGAGACTTGGGAAGCTCCTGCCCCCACCCCATGCAGTCCCAGGCCCAGTGCTGGGGTCTGAGATGCTTGGCAGACCCGGCTCCTGCATGGTAGAGAGGGAAGGGCAGGATGCTAGGAAAGAGAGTCAGGGTTCATGCTTGTGTTTAGGGGGACAAGTAGGAATTTTATCATTTTCAAAAGCTCTTTGTTGGGCTTTGCCACCAGGCTGATAAGAGAATGCTACCCAGGGACTCTGTTGATGCTTTCATAGCCCTTGTGCTTGGCCTACAAAATAAAATGAGCCAGCTGCTCCTGCAGCAAGAAACTTCTCTTGGAGAGAGGAGAAAGCAAAGCCATTTGCTTCTGCAGAAGCAAGCAGAAAGTATGGCACCTGGCAGGTGCTTTAAGGATGCAGATGTAGTTTGTGCAGTCTGGGCAATTTGGCTTAGGCACTCTGCCTCCTGCTCTCCCAAGTGTCTTTATTCAGCTGAGATTTGTGTGTCCCCGTGAGTACCAGGTGATGAGCTCAGCACAGGTGGCAGGGTATTTATTTAACCTCTCACAGCCTCAGTTTCCTCATCTGTGTAATAATTGTAGCTCAACCATACAGTTATAGTGAGAATTAAATGGCTTAAACATGAGCAGTGCTTAAAAAAGTATTTGGCATAGGATAAATGCTGCCTGGCTGTTAATATTATTGACTTCATTTACCAGTGTGGAGAGTGAAGCTCGGAGAGATTGAATCTGTGACCACACAGCTCTGCCGAGGTTTTTCCTTTGGGTCTCAGCTCAAAGACTTCTATATCCTGGGACTTCTCATCACTCAGGACAAGCAGATCTCCCTCCCTGACCATGTTCATGTTCAGTGTTAGGGCCCGGCATACATTACAGTCTCATCCAGCGGGGCCTGTAAGTTTCACACACTCTGTCTTGTGTTTCCCTTGGGTGATGCTTCCTTAGCCTTTCTCCAGATTGGAGGATTTGCGGAAGTAGAGGAGACTCTGCCTGTGTCCCCTGCGGGTTACATTGATAGGCAAGTCCCTAAAAATACTTGTTTGTGGAGGTTGTGGCACAGTGACAAATACAATGTTTTTACTCCAGCTCCGCCACTGTGGTGATGTGCTGAGTACCCAGGCTGCTGTGTCTCCCATGTGAATTCACTGGCTTCATCTGTGTTACCCATAAGACAGGGCTGTTACTGTCACCACTGTGGGAGGCAGACGGCTGGCGTAACTTGCCCAAGGTTAGATGGTGCTGGGAGGTCGGGTCAGGCCTTGAACTGTTGTGGAGTGGGTTTCTGAAAGGATGAACACCCCCAGGACAGACTATGACCAGTTTCCATGGCACTGACTTTCCTGGAAAATTCAGTATACATTAGACCCAAATCATGAGAAATGGTGAATGTGTAACATGGAGTTAGGTTGGCCCATTAGAAAATTCTTAGTTTGGTTTTACCTGCATTCATGTGCTGTGTGGCAGGGCACAGTTCCTTGGCAGAGTTGTCTTGCCTCGGAGGTGTGTGGTCAGCATGCTTGGCCTCCACTGTGTGGTACCACTGACTGTCCATCACTGTGACAACCCAAAGGCCTCACAGCTCTCCCTTCGGGAGTCTGATGAGCACCCTTATCCTTGGATGGGCCGTGTAATAATTGCGTCTGGAGGCTGCCCACATTATGGTCTCTTCCCCAGACTGCTCTTGAGTTGGGTCACTTTCCTTTCCCTTCTACTCCCTGGCCTCCTTGTGTCTTCTCTGTCTGCTGTATGTATGGCAGAGGTTGGTGTGGATGGGAATAGAAGGAAATGCCCTTCTTAGGACGGGTGCTGTGCCATAGGCTTTTGCAGTAGACCCTTTATAGATGGAGTGCGTACTTTTCTTATTGTGAGTGCTCAGCCCCATCGGTCCCCCTACCTCCCACAAATATCTGTTGTACCCTGACTGTGTTCTAGCCCTGGATCAGGTGCTTCATACGTGATCCAGTGATGTCACCCCACAGTCCGGAGGGTAAGGGTACTCTTTTTTTCTTATTCTACAGCTAGAGACAAGAAGTCCAGAGATGGACTTACCTTGGCCAGGACCATGCAGCCAGGCAACACAGAGCCAGGCTTCAGCCCAAGGCTGTCCGACACTACTAAATTTGCGATCCGAGAGGAAATGGAAGAGTCTCAAGGGCGAGGATTGCTGCACACCATGGAGGGCTGGGACAGTGTGTGGCCCAAGAGCTTCTTGGCAGCATGATATTTGTCTTACAGGCAAACACCAACACTGACCTGAGGCTGGCGGCGGCCAACAGAGCCCTCCTGAGACACCGGGTGCTGCTAGGGGTGTCAGACACTGTGGAAGGCTGCCAGAGTGTGATCCAGGTATAGTGTCTTGCAGTGCCCTGTCTGATGACCTGTGTTTGGACTGGGTTCTAGAGGACAGATGGCCTTGTGATGCCAGTGAAATATATCGAGGCATTTGGCCAGTGACCCACCTCCACTGGGTCCCACCTCCTAAGGGCTATGAGCATCACTGGATAATCTGCTGAGGAGGATAGTACCCCCAGGAACATTCATTTTCCAGGAATCTCCTAACCCAGCCAAGTCAACAACTGGCATGCAGTCTTTTCATTTTTAAGATAATATCTTGGCCTGTAAAAGTTGATTGAAAACGAGTCTTTCCCTGGAGATGAAACTGTGGGAGAGACAGCTGGCAAGAGAGACATGACCTTGGGTCACGTGGGTCAGGCACTGGGAGGTGGGAGGGGTGGGTGGGAGGAAGGTATAAAGCGGGACCTCGCTGTGGTGCAGAATTTCAGCATTGATGTGTGGCATCCCCGTGGTGTCCTGATGTGCAGACACACAGAGTCTCAGCCTGGCTGAGTTTAACCTGGCCTCCGGCTGTTCAGTTGAGCAAGAAGGGGATGTAAGGGTGAGATGAAGACATTTTTTCCTACTTCCCTCTTCACAGAGCACCCAAGGGTATTTGCCTTAGGCCCAGGATATGTCACTTCAGAAGGCTTCCACTCATTTGCATTCTTTGGGCTTCAGACAGAAAGATGCCCTAGCCACTGAGGATGGATGAGGGTCCCCTCCCAAGATGAATATGTGATATCCAGATATTTGGAGTCTGTCTGGAGTCCAGTGATAGGTGGGAGATGGACCATTTTAGCCATTTGTATGACGTTGAATTTTTTTTTTTCCTTTTGGTGGTGCTAGAGATTGAACCTAGGACCTTCACCCCAAACTACATCCAGCCCTTTTTAATTTTTTATTTTGAGAGAAGACTTTGCTAAATTACTAGAGTTACCCAGGCTGGGCTCAGATTTGTGATCCTCCTGCCTCCACCTCCCAGAGTGCTGGGATTACAGGCGTGGATCACCCCCCGACACACCACACACACCTGGGCTGGAAACTTCTAAATTTGTACCCACAGCCACTTTCTGCCATCTGTGCAAATGAGAAGAGAGCAGAATGACTTGTTCCTGCAGGCCAAAGGACACATTAGGCCATCCTCAGAAGGTGGGCTCCTGTGAGAGGAGGATGTGAAGCAGATGCTATGGTTAAGGCTGGGTGATGCTGAGCCTCAGTGACCCAAGCTGCTGCTTATTTCCACAGCTCTGGTTTGTCTATTTTGACCTGGACAACTGTGTGCAGTTTTTGTCTGACCACATTCAAGAAATGAAGACCAACCAAGAGGTAAGGTATCCTAAGTGGAAAAGGACAACAAGCTAAGCCAGAAGACTCATTACTGTGGCATTGGAAAAATGTCTAAGAAAACGTTCCAAACAGACCCACCATAGCTGACAGCTACCCATCACCCTGCTTCAACTATTGTCACTTCATGGTCAATGATTTCATCTCAATCTTCTGAGTGTCAGAAAGACACTTTAAAAACCAAGCACAATGGCACATGCCTATCATCCCTGGTGTAACTGTTTTAGAGTCTGACACAGGAAGATCATGAGTTTGAGGCCAGCTTGGGTTTGGAAATTTATACTATAAAACCTTTAAAAGGTCACTGTAAAAAAAGCTGAGGCTACTCTGAGTGACTATTGAGAGGCTGGAAGGAAAAGTCCATTAGAAGCCCTTAATGACCTTTGGAAGTTCTTATAGGCAGTGGTGTATGTCTCACCGATGTGGGTCTGTTTTAGGTTTTTCTGAGGTTGGTGCTGGAGTCTGTAGCTGGATCCACCTTCCTTTGGTTCTGCAGCTCAGAGTCACATACCTTCCATTCTCCCCCAACTTAGGACAACATCTGCCCCTGTGTTTCCTTTGCAGTCCTTGCTGAGAAGCAGATTGAGCCAGCTATGTGTTGTCATAGAGACAGGGGTGAACCCTGTGATGGCAGAGGCGCCTGGGGACCTGGAGGATGCTCCTCTCCTGCCCAGAGGAGAGACCAGTCCCCAGGAGAGACCAGTCCTGCAGACGGAGCTGCACCAGCTAGTGCCAGTAGCCGAGCCACAGGTAACGTGTCACCCTGTGTGGGCAGCTGCCCAGACACACCCATGTGGCAGCTTCCAGTTCCATGGGCTCATGATTTCTCTGAGGTCGGAGAGACCATCGTATCTTACAGATCCTATCTTTCAATCTTGTTTTTGTTTACCTCAACACATTTAAAATAGTTTATAGAAATCATTTTAGAGTTACTAGGATTTTTGTTCCATTCTAAAATATCTTGTGCATTTTTTGATAGTTACATGGAGTGGGTAGCTATTTTGATGGAGTATAGCTCACTTCAGCAATAACAATAACTAAGCTGATAAGCCAGCTTACCAATCGATTGATCAGCCATCTGTCCAGCCAGCTATTCATCGTCAATTTGAGTGGCAATTAGATATTTGGATCTGATATGATTCTTAGAATTCTCTTGAGTTCTTTCTAGTTCTTCCATCCATTCAGTGTACCTGTTAGGTCTTGTTAATTTCGGTAACTAGAAATCTGGTAATAGGTTTTGCAGCTCATGCTGCTTTGTTTAAACCATGGGGGCAGACCTGCTATCAGGGAAGCATGCCGCAAGGAGCAGCTTGGAATTTAAGAGGTCACTTGCGTTTTCTTTTCAGCCAAGAGCCTTGGAGATTGAAAGTCCAAACCAACCCAAATTACTTTTGTTTGCCCTGGTGGGAAGTGGGAGGGCGGCCAGAAGGACTGTTTAGAAGAGAAGAAGATGAATGTAGTAATCTCTTCTCTTGCATCCCATTTCCTTTTTTTAAAATTCAAAGCAGAAAAGATTGATATGGTCACGTAGTTTATTGTGGCATGCTTGCCTGGGTTTATGTTTAATAGCCTATTAGAGCTGCGCCTTTTAAATTATTTTCTCAAATTCATTCAAACCAATAGGCATGCAGTTTCCCATTATGAATATCAAGTGTGTGTGAATATTGTTAAAGCAACCACCCTTATCCTTTAGCAAGTGGAATGCAGTCACCGCCTGCAGCTTGGGATGGGCAGACCTTCCTGTTCCATCAGAGCCATTATTTGTGAAAGACAGACAGAGTGACTGCTTAGATTTTTACAGATTTTCATCTGGCATCAAATTCTTGAGCAAGCCATGTGTGGTGTGGACTGCTTTTCCTTCTTGGAGGGGTGAAATAAGGTTCTAAGAGGTCAGTTGACTTGCCCTCACCCACAGATGGTTGGAGAATCGGCAGAGCCACACGTGGAAGCAGGCCCTGCCAGCTCCTAGCAGCCTACTTCTTGCCGCAGTTCTTTGCTGCTTCTATTGTTGACTTCAGCCTGCCTCGTTGAGGGGTCAGTCTGAGTTAGAGAGTGGTAGATTATTTGAAGTTTTCAGTATTTTGAAGCACAAAGAACAGCTCAAAACAAAAACTAGTCCTGTGAATCATACACAGTTTCTGACTTTGTGACTAACAATGATAATTAATAATAATAATAATGGGGATGTTGTTGAAGCTGGCTGAGCACCTGTCACTGGACTAGTGCTCTCCATCTGTGCTTCTGCAGCCCTCGCCATCTCAGCATGATGCGTGCCCTTGCTAACTGGGGTCGCTCCCGGAGATGAGTTGCAGCAGTGTGATTGCAGATTGCAGATTGCAGAGTGGATAAGCTAGGGCTCCCTCTTGGCTGTGTGTGTATGTAGTGTGTGTGTGTGTGTGTGTGTGTGTGTGTGTGTGTGTGTGTGTGTATACACTAGGGGTTGAAGCCAGAGCTGTGCACTGAACTTCATCCCCAGTCCTTTTTATTTTTATTTTTTTTAATTTTAGACATGGTTTCTGTGAGTTTCTTAGTTGCCCTGATTGGCCTCAAGTGTGGAACCTCCTGCCTCAGTCTCCCATAGGTCTGGGGTTACAGGCATGTGCTACCACACCCAGTTCCTCGTAGCCTTTTAAATGTTTTCATAATTACTAACTCTATCGGCACAAGTAGCTTCTATGCTTAAAAATGAAAAAAAGTGCCTGAGGCCTTGGTAGTTTCTGTAGTTCTCTGAGGTTGCACAGCTCTTCGTGCGTATTAGTGGTGCTGGGAACTGAACCCAGGGCCTCCTGTGTGCTAAGCGTTGGTTCCGCCACTGAGCCACACCCCTGTCCTTGTGCACATTATCACCAAGGAGCAGTTGGTTCTCCCACCTTGATTCTGAAGAAATAGGCTGCATGTGCTCGGAGCCAGGGAGCTGCAGAGCTGGGCTTCTAGACCAGGCCAGTGTCTGCCCAGAGCCACAGCTGCTGGCCTAGCCTGGTTCTTAGTGAATATCACTGCTGGGCCGGGGGCAGGAGGACAGCTGATGTCCCTTGTGCCTAAGTTCTGTTGCCCTCCAGAACCTCCTGTTGCCTCATTCTGATTCCCTGCCTCTTCTAGGAAATGGCTCGGCAGCTGCTGGCAGTGTTTGGTGGCTACTACATTCGGCTCCTGGTGACCTCCCAGCTCCCGCAGTCAGTGGGGACCCGCCACATGGACTCTCCAAGGGTTCCATGCCCTTGCCAGCTCATAGAAGCACATATTCTGACCTCCGGGTGCTGCCCCTTTCTGAACAGGTGACCTAGGGACAAAGGTCTTTATCTTCCTCCAAGACTGAAAAGTAAGAAAGGCCTCCAGAACTGAAGATGACCCATGGTGTCCTGGAGATGGCATCAGGAGTGCTCCTAAGGTTGCCCATGACATCTGCAGCAGGGATGTCATGTCTGCCTCTGGACCCTGTGCAGAAATGCCTCGATGGGACCCCATGCTGACTGCAGGGCTTTGCTAAAGCTGATGGTTGGTGGGCTTGTTCCACCTCCAGCCTCTCTGTGTGCTGTGCAGAGTTCAGGCGTGGATGGAAAGGGCACCCCACTGTCCACAGGGCCCATGAGATGTGAAGATGACCTTGCTGGGGCACATCACGTATCCAAAGCTTGGTCTCACAAGCTGCTCCTATCTCCAGCCCCTTCATGACAGAAGGGGAAACTGCAGCTCAGGGTGAGCACTGCTCTTTATGTCTGCCTCTCTCCAGTCTGTGAAAAAGGAACAGTCTCAGGATGTCCTCCATTCTTAGGCTGCTCTCCTCCACGTTTTGTGAACAGTAGTGGTGCCTGGGCTGGTATGCTTGCAACAGGCTCCAGAGACAGGATTGAAGGACGGGAGACAGAAGAAGACTGAGGAGAGACCACGGGAGACCAAGGAGGATGCCACTAACAAGAGTATTTGCAAAAGGTGGATCGACCCGGTTTGACTTGAGGACTGTTTGTTCAAACACTTTCTTCCTTGTGGCTGTGGTTTTTATCCTGCAGATGTAAAACACTAGTCATGTTTGCTGATACTGATACTGCCCCACAGTGACATCTGATCAGCCACTCCTGGAATTCTGTGAAGAGTTCTCAGACTGGCCAGTGTTCTGCTCCCCCAAAAGTTTGAAGACCTGTTGTTCCTAGGCCCGAGTTGTAAAGCCATGGCCTGGTATTTGGAGGCTCCAGGCCCCAGCACCCAACATTTATCTGTAATTTTTCCACCATCTTTCCTGAACTGATAAATCTGTTATTTTCTATCTGTTGGACTCTTATTCATGCTTCAAGTCCCACCATTCCTTATCCCTTCCACAGGAAGTCTTCCAACACAGCAGCCCTGCTGCTCACTGCCAACTCTTAAGTTCTTCTTACCTGTATTGTGTGACTACCTGTATTGATGTTTCATGTTATTGGTTTTGATTTCCTGTGCACCTTCATACCTGCTTTCTGGCCAGATTGTGAATTCCTCAAGGCCTAGACCTGTTAAGCGGGGAAAATCCTGTGGATGGACTGCTTTGTTATCTGTATATCAGCATCTGCAGATTGCCTCCAAACCCAGTTGGATGGTGAGATCTGGGTTATCATGGACCTGGGTTCTGTCTTGATCTTTTACTCTCAGCTGTGTAACTGTTGGCAAGTCGCTTTATTTGGCTGGTCCTTAGTTTGCACATCTATATGATGAGTGGGTTGGATGATTCTTACGGGCTCCTGTAGGGCCAAAGTGCTAGTAATTTTCATCTTACTCTTCTTTCTGTTACAGCTTTATCTACATACAGAAAGTCTTCCTCTCCCATAGGCCTGATGTATCTTTGGATAGGATATTGGTTTGCTAGCAGGAGACCTGGATTCTTGTCCCAGATCTTCTGCTTCCTAGCTCTGTAACCTTGGATAAGTCCCTTACCCTCTCTGAGTGTCGGTTTACTCCCTTATAACGTGGACCTGGTGAAGTTGAAATGTCTTCCTGCAGAGGTCTTGCTCTGTGAGAGGCAAACCCGACCGCTTCCTTGTGCCAGAGAAGAGAGCTCATGCACATCGAACAACCCCTGGACGTGGCTGTCACAGGCCTAGTCTTTAGCCACGTCCTGGGCAGCTTTCCTCCACAAAATTATTCATGAAGGCCGTGTCAGGACACTGAGGAAATGTTGATGAGAATGTGACCAATAGAAGCCTGTATTTATCATCCCAACCATAAAACCCTGTAAGTGTAATAGGAGAATAAAAACGTGTTTGTTAAATGACAAAGCAGCGGTTTTTCAATTTCAAGGTCAGCTCATGGAGGCTGTGATGTGTTCTTTTCTGCTTTTTTTCCTCTCTTGAGAATTGCTGATGTCCCCCCTCCCTGGGTGGGTGGGCCGTGCGGTGCTTCCCACAAATGTGAGTCCTCATTAATAAAATCCCTGTGATCCTGGGGCCTCCTGCTTCCCAAGGTTGCTGTGAAGATCAGATATCTGATAGGAGCAGTCTCCTGTGTCAGAGGCCCTGCAGTTGTAGAGACAGTGGATGTAGTGACACAGCAGGGGAGGTTGTGCCGCTGCTTGGATTCTGGAGTCGTAGTTATCCAAATCCAAGTCCTGCTACTTCCTGGCACTGGACCTCAGCCATCTTCAGGGGACTAGGGGGAGAGGGACCTCCCTGGCAGGTTGGAAAGATAGATGAGCAGATGTCCAGTGCTCGTGACTCAGAGCTTGAAGCTTGAGTAAGAGTTCAGAAAACCGTTGCAATTAAAAACAAACAGCAACAACAAAAACC